AGGGGTCCTATAGGAGTCCGATGGAACCCTGTACGGGTCCTATGGGCACCCGATGGATCCCTGTAGGGGTCCTATGGGAGTCCGATGGAACCCTGTACGGGTCCTATGAGAATCCGATGGAACCCTGTAGGGGTCGTATGGGAGTCCGATGGAACCCTGTACGGGTCCTATGGGGGTCCCATGGAACCCTGTCCGGGTCCTATGGGAACCCGATGGAACCCTGTCCGGGTCCTATGGGAACCCGATGGATCCCTGTAGGGGTCCTATGGGAGTCCTATGAAGCCCTGTAGGGGTCCTATGGGAGTCCTATGGAACCCTGTCGGGGTTCCATGGGAGTCTTCAGGAACCCTGTCTGGGTCGTATGGGAGTCCTATGAAACCCTGTAGGGGTCCTATGGGAGTCCCATGGAACCCTGTAGGGGTCCTATAGGAGTCCAATGGAACCCTACACGGGTCCTATGGGAATCCGATGGAACCCTGTAGGGGTCCTATGGGGGTCCGATCCAACCCTGTGCGGCTCCTACAAAAGTCCAATGGAACCCTGTACGGGTCCTATAGGAATCCTATGGAACCGTGTAGGGGTCCTATAGGAATCCTATGGAACCCTGTAGGGGTCCTGTGGGAGCCCTATAGAACCCTGTACGGGTCCCTGTACGCCCCGCGGGGGGGCGCGCGGGGAGAGCGTTGCGTTGCGTTGCGCTGCGTTGCGCGGGGGGGGGGGGGGGGGGGGAGGCCGGTCCGCCAGCTAGTGGTTTCGTCAACAACAACAACAACAACAACAACAACAACAACAACAACAACAACAACAACCTTCCGAGAAGGCTCCCTGGGGCCCTCTCTGCGAAGCCCCCCCCCCGCCGCCTCGGGAAGGCCCGGCCCCCTCGCCGCGCAGCCGCGGAGGAGGCGGCTCCTGAACCCCGGGGCCTTCCCCGGGGACCAGCGCCTCTTGGAGCACCATGCGGGACCTGCTCCAAAAAAACAAGAGCACACCGTACAGTCGGGGCGTTCACCCAAGGAGCCCGAAATAAGGAACGAGGCCCCTGTGTTCCATAAGTTAACCTTCGATGTCCGGTCGAAAACCTAAGGAAAGCCTGAGGCAAGCTGTGAAACACTTAAGGAACGCGGAGCCCCTCCCCAACGAAAAGGGTTCCTTCTTCAGGGCCCCGACTGTAGAGCATGCGGGACCAGCTTCTCTTGGAGTACCGCGTGGGACCTGCTCCAGAACAAGAGAACGCGCCGTCGACGGATCTGCCCTTCCTCCGACCTCCTGCACCGCGCCGAACGCACCGGCCACGTTGTCCATAGGCTGTTCACCCTGAAACTGTCTATGGACGTCACAGCACCCAATGTGTCCATAGACGCTTTTGGCTAGGACGTGAGAACGGTATTTGGCATCGGCCCCAGATGTTGGTCTTCTAGAAGCAGGTAGGCTTGGCCCTCCAAAGATTATCATCCTGAGTCGTTCCCTACAGTCCCAGCAAAGGCCTCCTGGATGGGGCCGGAGCAGATGGGGTCAGAGAATCGCGCCGCATCGCCGACACGTCGGCAATGCATCGGCGACGCATCGGTAATGCACTGGCGATGCACTGGCGATGCATCGTCGACGTCGGCGATGCATCGGCAACGTCGACGTGGAGCAAATCGGGCCCCACATCGGCGATGCGTCGGCGATGCGGCGCGATCCTCCGACCGCATCCACCCTGACCCCATCTAGGAGGCCTAGGCCCAGGGCCCGTGGAGAGCCAAGGAGCCCGAAAACGAGAGGAAACAACCGTAGACCCCGCTCCCCTCAGGACCCTGTTGCTTCGTGGCGATCGCGCCCCCTTTCTCGGGGAGGTATAAAAAAGTACCAGCACGCGCTGCTCCCTGGACCTCTCTCCATGGGGGCGCGCTCTGACCAGGAGCTCGAGGCGAGTCCAGCCGTGGCGACGAGGGCCTCCAAGGGGGCCCAGAAAATGAGGAAAAACGAGGCCAAGGGCAACGGCACGCCCCGAAAAACGAGGCCCCGAAAAGGCGAAACAACGAGGCCCAGAAAAACGAGGCGAAAAGACAAAAAAAGGCGAAGCAACAGGCGAAAAGGCGAAAAAACGAGGCGGAAAAACGAGGCGAAAAGACTAAAACTAATCCGAAAAAAACGAGGCCCAGAAAAGGCGAAAAAACGAGGCCTCTGGGTGGAGCTCCGACGCCCGTGTGGTGACGGACGGGGCGCGGGAACCTCGAGACCCCCCCGAGAGAAAGAGGCCTCCCCCGCGCGGCGAGTGGCGCCGAACGGGCCCCGGGACCCGGGCGGCCCCGGCTGCCCGAGGCGCCCTCGGGAGCACGTAGGGGGCCACATGCGAACCCTGCCCCTAACCCCCCACGATGTCCAAGGGGGAGGGTGGGGTTCACTTCGTTCGGGAGCTCCCGAGCGAAGTGAACCCCACCCTCCCCTCAGAAATCGTGGGGGGTAGGGGTAGGGTTCGCATGTGGCCCCCGAGCACGACCCGAGTCCCAAAACCGTG